TGCAAGTCACGTGAGCATGCACAGAATTAGACGCATGAGTATGTGTGTACGCACGAGAGAGAGAGAGAATGCATGCATTGCGCATTGTTTAAAAATCACGTGATCCACCGGGACACGGTGATGTGTGTGTGTGTGTGTGTGTGTGTGTGTGTGTGTGTGTGTGTGTGTGTGTGTGTGTGTGAACTTAACGCGGTCGATTGCGTTGTTTACGGAGAAACGGGAACAAGTGTAACGAATGAGAGATAGATAAACATGGTTTGTGCAATCGAGGGCTGGAACAAAGCACATGTGCAATACTACAGTCGCGTTTGGAGAGTCGGATGAATAATAGATACTTTCTCAAAAGAATCAAGTCATTTTGTGTCTTTTCTCACGCTCAAACACAACGGCGGAAGACAAACAGCATCGTAAAAAATCTATTACATGGTAGAATCAAACAGTTTTGGTGTTGTACTGGCTTCGTCGAAGTAGTCGCTCAGACAGATACTGAAACATTTGTCTGGGAATGTTGCTGTTGGCGGTGGTGTGTTCTTCGAGAACTAGAAGAGTTGTTCGCAGACCGTTCGTAGCCAGGCTACGATAGCGAATATTGAACTATCTACTTAACCTATCGAACCGGATGAGTAGGGGTATCTTTCATCAACTGGCCCCGTTTTTTTTCACAATTATATGAACTGTCGAGTAAATGAATAGAGTTAAAATACACATATTTCATCCTATGGTTCCTAGGGTACCTGGTAGACTTGTCACGTGGTTTGTTCATCATAGAAACGTCTAAGAAACAGTTGTTTCCGAGGAGCTAACAACAATAACAACAACTCGTGTGTCATATTGATCGCATGGGACGATAAATGTATAGCATAGCTGCAGTCGACGTTGGTGGTCAAAGGCAAATGTGACACAAATTGTGCACCTCGAATTACCGGTACACGATCAGAATCGATCGATGGGTCGACTATGTAATCGACCAATGGACAGCTCTTTACACACGATCATGTGACGCCCGGACAGGATAGAGATGTATTCGGTATTCGAACTTTGTCTGTCACACGGGAGTACATTGTGGTCTGCATCTTGATTTGACTTGAAGTGTCATAGATAATAATCAATGAACCGAATTGGTTTGATTCACTCGTCGTATGAAACGGTCGAAATGACTTTGATATCGGGACAGACAGACAGACAGATGCTCCGCTTGGAGAGAAAAAAATTCAGAATCCGGATCGGAATGTAACGGACTTCGCACATATGGGACACTTGGTTACGCGGGCAGCGGGAACGCTTCAGTATAACCGATTTCACCATATCATGAGTTCTATCTTGAAACCAATTTATTCACGGTGTACAATCATATATAGATGGAGACAGATACCATAAATAGCATTACACAATACCGATTTATAAATCCACGTTTGTTTGGTACAAAAAACATCGAGCGTGAACAACAAGTATGAGGTATTCGCGAGTTCTTCAACGAGTCACTAAAACAATACGTTGGAAGTCATAAAAAATGAAAAGGGTACCCGGGTGACGTTTTAATAGACGGTTCTTTCAGAACCAGTCCATTGAAGAATCAATGCTATGATTCAATTTTTTGTAAGTGGGTTGAATGCTACTAACCGCAACAAACGTGACTTGATAGTTTTTTTATAGAATACTTCATAATAAGTGATATGTGAATGACTGGACTAAATTTCCCTGGAAGCACACGTTTGTTGCGGTTAGTAGCATCTAACCCACTTACAAAGACATTGATTCATAGCATTGATTCTTCAATGGACTGGCTCTGAAAGAGCAGTCTATCCAATGGTTACCCGGTGTTGCAAACAAGGTTATTGTGACGAAAATATACTTCCTGGGTACAAGTATATGAATGAACTGGAAAAAGATGACCGGATACGCATGCGTGACCAGCGGCAAGGACCGCGAAACCGGTCGTGTGCTTCCAGGGAAATTTTGTCCAGTCATTCACATACTACTTATTAGGATATATGTATAGCTATTGATCAAACTCGTGCAACATGACTTTCATTTCCAGTTTCAAATACCATACATGTATATTGATAGCTATGAGTGGTGTATTTATTCCGAAGATTATGTCCCACCTCTATCGACGTTTACATTTGCGCCACCTTGAGTGTTATTTTTTTAAAAATTACAGTATTTCGAAAGTTAAAGCTCAGCTTTAAAAAGGAAAGAAATACTGATAACTTTATTGATCTGGATATAGCGCGATTTCTTGCACGGATAGGGCAGGTTTTCGATAACTGTCACTCTCAAAATGCATTCGTGGAAGTCACATTTTTATATAGTATAGTAGTATATATCTGCTCGCTTGAGGTTGGTAGTAGTAGAAAACGTTCAGATCTCATTAAATAATATTTTTCTCCTTCATGCAGTTTCTCGATGGAGAGGGGAGTCCAGTCCAATGTCGAATTCATTCAATCACCGACCAGTAGTTCAGATTTAAATGTAATAGAAAACTTTCCGTGTTTTGGAGCCAACTTGGTGGACTCCATGCAAAAGCGAATGCGTCTAGTGCTCCGAAATGAAGAACGGAAAATATCACATGGACGACATGAATACCTGTATCAATCGAGTCTATGGGTAATGAAGATAAATAAATAAATTCTAGTAGTGTGTTTTCTCTACTGTGGCTTCGTTATTTTACAACTAATTGTTGCACCGGTAACCGTCGTCGACTGACAGAAGCAAAAACAAGAGTGTTATATTATCACACATATGTTGAGTCTGATGTGGGACCATAGCATATCCCTACCCCACGCCCTCGGGAATGAGGTCCAGAACACTAATCGTTGGGAGAAACAAATCTGATGTTGTTGCACGATTTGGATCAATAGATTGGTGATACTTACAAAGTTAACTTGTCGTCAAATTCCACATCCGATGTGCCCGGACGAATGTCAAAAATCAGTCGAGTCTCACGAATCGTGTGACCCGGACGAGCCAGACAGAATACCGCATGCCAGACAGAATACNTCACATTGTTCGCCGGTGTCTGTCCGATCGGCCATATCCCCGGCACCGGCCAACAAACTGGCTGTGGTCAGTAAGGACTGAGACTGGGGGAACAAACGTTGCATCAGGACTTGCATGTTCACACCGAGGGGGCCATCTCGCCAGAGCAAGGGAATGCGTATATCTGCGAGCAATTATGTGATAGGTAAGCGAAAACACAAAAACCCGCGGTTGTGCAATCATGCTAATACCATACTTCCAAGAGCAGAGTTTGAGTTCACTGCAAAATTAACGTGAAACATCTATGGAGGAATATCGCTAAATACTGTTGTGGAAAGAAAAATGGTGCTTTACAAATATAAGAATTCACGCTCCATCATGACATTATCACACAATTCCGAGATAGATCGATTACATTGGGCGTTTTTATTCA